GAACTTCATTTGGACAGCTTTAAAGGCGATTTTCTCAGTATTTTTTTTTTTTTTGCACCCTCAGATTCCAGATTTTCAAATAGTTGTATCTCAGCCAAATATTAAAATAAATGTCAAAATTGAAAGGGTAAGTCAGTTATTATGCTTAACACACAGCTGGGTTTTATCTGATTTGGCTGCCCCAGTTATGGCAAAGAGGCTGAAACTGCCATTAAAAAAAAAAGGTAAATCATGCATAAATATCAGACCAAATCATTTCAGATCTGCTGCAGACAGCATTTTCAAAAGTGGGCAACAATCCCAGAATGCATTGCGTTGAGGTCAGTGCAAAAATTCATCCAATATGGTGAACAAAGTTGAAAGAAATGTTGATTCTAAATATATCTATTGAAGAAAAGTAGTGATTATACATCTAATTCAAAATAGAATGTCATGTATTGTTATGATTCTTCACCTTAGCTTAGCAACATACGAATGACAGATTGTCAGTGAAATCTCTAGTGCACTTCACATAAGGAACAATATATTTGTGGCACGTAGAGTGTGCTAGAGAGTGTTACAAATCTGTCACTTATGTGTTTTCTTTTCAGTTAGGTTTTTGCCCCAGAACATGGCGACATTTAGATTAGTCAGAGTGAGCTATGCTATTGGAAGGAGTCAGTTCATTTCAGGAACTACAGCTAAAAGCAAATTTATCAAATCTTTCTGGGCCAGCTGGTAATTTGATATGATATAAGCAATAAATACAAAAACGATGAATATACAAACAAAAAACTGGTTATTCTGGTTGAGTGCCCCTTCTCAGTATGTCCTTATCTTTGGTTTTTCAGGTATGATGTCGACTCCAAGAGCAGCAACCTTTCAAAACATGTAAGTCTCCTCTCCACATTTCCTCTCAGACTCCATAAACGCTTACCCTGTTGACCTCCTCTAGGCCATTGTGAAGTTTAGGATGCCATCATACACACTAGTCCACAGTAAAACCATCTCACAGTGCTTGTAATCAGCAGGTCTGTTTATATGAGAATAAAGAGGTAAACGTGGGTTAATAGAGATGTGTGATTAGAGAAGCTCTCACAGAGATAGTAGCATGATTGAAGCTGTGTTTTGGTGCTCAAGCGGGTCCCTGAGGTAACATTTTACACACTGATGATGGGTTTAGAGTAAAAGATGCAAATTCACTACGGTGGTCTCATCTGTGCTCGTCATGGAATGTGGCCGTGATCATTCTATGTCTTTATTTCTTTCGTGTTCCAATCAAACAACCAATCAACCCAAAATATATTCACCATGCCTGACATTAACTGTCAGTTCAGCCATCCATCCATCCATACCCCCTGCCCATGAACTGTATGAAAAAAATAAACTGTCTTTCAATCAGTCAGCATCAACTTTGTCAATCAGTCAATTGATCCATTAAATTCATTTATACTCCCAATATCAATATCAACTTTGCCTATCAATCAGTAAATCAATTATTTAACCCATCCATATATTCATCTATCCAGCTATCAACAGATGTTATTCCATTTCCATAGGCAGGAAGAAACTTCCAAGAACCCTCTTCTTGTAAAGAGATTTTTTTCTGTAGTATAGCGTAATTTTTCTTGGAGATTAACATTTTCTTCATTTAATGTCAGTTTTTTAGATCAGCGTATTGTGTATATACACACTATCCATTATATATAGGTTGTTTTCTACAAAATTTAAGAATTATACACAGTGTTCTTTATGTAACTTACAAAGGTTCTCTTTGACATAAGGCTGCAAAACCATTTTGGTTCTAATTGGAACCTTTAATTTTATGAGTCTAGGATTTTTGGTAATCCCTTGGCATTTACAAAGCAAACTAACAAGAGTCAGGTAGTAGTGAAACTAAGGTCATTTAATGCTAGTTAATTCAGCGTTTATAGCACAGGAGACTGTGGGCATCCATCAATGTGGCAAAGTGGAACTGTTTAACGAAACACAACATGGCATTTACTAAACTACCCGCCAACAACACCATTGATCTAAACCAGCCGTACACTTCTCTGTGAATCTGCCATATCACAGGCAGCGCTCCAGAGCATCTGTACTGCTATTGTTTCCTGCAGCTAGCATGTGGACACACTAGCTATAAAGAGACAGATAAACTGATCTCTTCACACATCATGCACAAGAGTAATTGAAAACACCCTCAGTGACTCCAGTGAGCATACAGGTTCCATCCCTGAAAATTACCGCCTCGAAATTATCTAACAAATCAGACACAGTACCTCTTGGTGCTTTACTCCCTCCCTTTGTCACCCAGAAATCAATATTACTCTCTTCCCCCCTGACTTAGAAAGACAAACACTGCTTGTCCACTCCCAAATGGAATTCTGCACAAAACCATTATAGAATGTGTTGAAAGGCAAAGAGCGACTATGTCCTCAGGTGAAAATTAAGAGAGGCAGCAGGGAGAAAACCACACATGCAGAGATAGAGGAGGAAACCGTGAGAGATAGATGGAGAAAGACAGATGTGGAGAAGGAGGTCGTCATAGAGTTTATAGAGAATAAAGGTAGATTATTCATATTCATCTTTATGAATACAAATTGAGAATTTAGTCGCCCGCAGTAATTAGAGGAGCAGTAGGACAAGTGCTCATGGGAATGTCTGTGTCAGTGAAAATGTAGCATTTCATAAATAACTGAGTATGAACTCAGTGAGCAAAGACTAGTGTCTAAATTTGTGACAGTCATATTGAAAAAAAAAAAAAGTTCGCCACCCAAAATATTTTATTTATCCAAGGAACACAACAATCACACTGCTCTTTTCCATACGACAAAAGCATATAGTGACTGCAAGCTGGCAAAAAAGTATCTTATATTTAACACATTCGCTATATTTAAAGTTTTCTGAAGTCACATGGTAACTTTTGTGTAAGGAACAGACTGAAATTTGTCCCCTTCACCGTATCACTCAAATCTCATTTGGGTTTTCATATCCATAATTGCTGTGCCACATTTGGTTACAGGACATGTGAGAAGTAATGGCAACGTTAATGTCAAACATAACAGTACTTTTTCCACACCATCGAGATTGGGGTTAGCCCAATCAGTTTAGTTAATGTTGACAGTTTTTTTTATAAAGTAAATCATCTAGCTAGACCTGTTGTCCTTAAAATGGTGAATTATTTTGTCCACCCTCTCAACTTGGCATCACAGGAAGTGCACTTTGTTGGCTTGAGTAATGGGGAGATGCTTCAAAGTTTGCTGAAGGGGAAAGCTCAGAATTACATGAAATAATCTGTGGGGTGCCTCAGGGTTCAGTAATTGGCCCCCTTCTCTTCTCGATATATACACACTTTGCAATCAGCAGAGGATATTAGGCATGTATTAAATTAAATTAAATTAAATTAAATTAAATTAAATTAAATTAAATTTATTACCTATTTCTTTATTATTATGAAAAAAGAAAAGTCCCCACTATTACACTGAAAGTATGTCTTTGAAAAATACAAACACATCTGCTAATGCAAAGCAATTGGCCCCATTTTCATTCTTATTCTCTGGATGTCTTATTTTCATTTTCTCCTGTTTCCTTTGATCATTCTCGCTCCACTGCACTTTCCATTGATGCACATTTTTATTAATACAGAATAAAGTAAATGAAGATCTATCATTTTCAGCAGACTTCATTGCACAAACAGTATCACCCACCCTTATAAAAACGTCTCAGTTTACTTATGTAACCATGGTTCCCTGAGTAGGGAACGAGACACTG